ACTATTTGTCTCCCTTTTTTCCCCTCCGTTCACCTCTCTCAAATAAATAAATAAATAAATAAAAAGAAAGACAGACAGAGTCCAGAGTTCCTGTTCCCATTTAAAGTTCTGTTCTTTGGGACCCACAGGTGGCTGCAGAGCAGTCAGCCTGGTGCTTAGCTTGTTCCTGGCGCTTTAGGCTCCCTTGTTCCCACATGTGGAGCCAGTGCCGCCATAAGCCATGTGGTTTCTAGGGCCACAAGGCCCCACAAACACACCAACCAGTGTGTTCTCCAGGTGGGCAAGAATGTTTCATTTCCCTGGGTCTGTATCGGCTGGGGAGGGACCAGGTGCTTTCTTTTGCTTTTGGTGGGTCCACCTCCCAACCAATCCCTTCTCTCCCCTGGCTAGACAGGTCTCTTCATCATCACCTCCCCTGTCACCATTGTATCTTCTATTTGAGCATGTGCTGCCCCCAATGTGGTACTGGAAGGGGATAGGAGGGCTTTTCCCCTCTTACCCAATTATCTTGCCAGCCTTGCGTGTGCTCAGTGTAAGGACTTCCTCCTGCCCACCATCTTGCTGGGGGTGGAGGAGGGGGTGGTGTGTGGGCAACCCCCCCCCAACTATCTTGCCTTGGCCCCCATCTGTTCACCATCTTACCCCAGGAGGCCCTTCCTGTTCCCCGTCCTTAGCTCACTCCCAGCCATCTGGACAGCCTCTCAGTATCACAGGCACCTGCTGTCTACTGAGCGGTCGTGGTGGCTCTGTGAGGTGGGCTCCAGGACTGAGCCCCCAGCAGGCCAGTCCCAAGACTGTGTTTGGGTCAGTGGCACTCGGGCGAAAGCGGCATCAGCTCTTCTCCTCTCACCCCCCACCCCAACCCAGTCCAGCAGTCCGCAACTCCTCACCCAGAGTCTTGTCACCTCCCAGGGTTCAGGCTGTGTCAACCCTTACCAGAATCCCCAAAGCAGCTTCCTGGGAGACATCTCCCACCACCTCCTTCAGCTGCAGCTCCTTCTCAACGTGGCAGCCAGAGCCATCTTCTGATCAGAAGTCTCCAGGTACTCCCGGGGCCTTGGGGGGAGGGTCCCGGTCCTCACAATGCCCGAAGGGTGCCATGTGAATACGAGCACACGTGTGCACACCTCATTCCCAATGACAGCGTCAGGCAAACTGATGGCATCGGGGTGTTACCAGACTCAAGGGGTTTGCACTTGGGGTGTTCTGTTCAAGGAGATGTGGTTGTCCTTGGCCAGTCTCATTTACTTGAAGCAAGTGAACAGGACAGATTCACATCCAGAGCTGTCTCCCCCAAGGGAGGCTTAGCCATTGCTTGTGTACACTATTTGGTAAATTGCACGTTCATTTCTTCTTGGCAGTTGGCTAAACTGATCAGTTTGGGTTCTGATTAAGTTCATCCTTTACAGCTGCCTCTGAAAAAAATGCTGTGTTACATTTTAACACTTAGCAAAAATAGCATTTAGTGATAGTAGTAACTGCTCAGATCTTGAGATCCTTGTTCTACTGGTGGGTTTCTTCTACTCTTTAAATACTTCTGAGAGTGTTTAGTCAAATTACATTCCAGATCTTTTCCCACAAATAAAGACAGAGGGGTTAGCCTATGTTAACACTGGGATGGCCCATGAATTGGGGTGTTTTCTCCTCAAGGTGGGTCAGGGTTGTATGAGGACGTTCATAGCACTCCTAACAGCTGGAAAATGAAGACAGTGAAAGGTTCCAAGAAAACACGACTGCTTTCTCCAAGCTCTGAGCCATACAGTGGGCTGCTCAGAGTCTATGCACCAGGCACCATGGCCACAAAGAACTCAGGAAATTCCAAGATACCCGTGACCAAGTTCACTAAAGGACAGAGACCGAGTAGGTTTCTGTTCCTGTCACTGTTCATGAGCACTAAAAAGTGACTCACTCAGAAGTGTCCTCAGGGTAGAGAGAATCAGCTGGCTAAGGGAGGGGCTTTGGCTGTCTAGTGTAGGCTGCAGCAGTGAACTCCAAGTTCTCAGAGAAAGAACAGGCCTGTCATGTGAACTCCTGGGCTAGTTCTGCATGAAGTGGGAATGGAGGCCTGCCGGCACCTAGCTAGTCAAACCACGGTGTGCGCTCCGCCCTCCACGCTGGCCAGGCGGACGTGCCTGGTCCAGAGCTGCCTGGTGTCAGGACAGAAGGGTGAGGGAGGAAGGAGCAGGGCAGCTGTGGCAGTGAGCACCAGCCAGTGAGCCATCGCCCGGACCCGGCAGGTGGTTAGGGAGGGAGGTCCCAGTCTGGACCTCCAAAGGAGTTGGATACTCTCCCACTGCCAGGGGGCCTTCAAACCTGTTCACACTCAGCAGTATACACTGGCACTCTGAGCTGGACAGGCAGATATAAGTGGTTACATGGCCAGACCCATGTCACAGAGTTGGGGGGAAAGTTCATTTGCAACAGTCTCATGCAACGCACATTCAGCCCCTAATACAGAAGAATCTCCAATGACTTGTTAGAAACCTCCAATGGCATCCTCTTCAGCTGAGGAGCAGAAAGCAGGGCATATTCAAGTATGCAGAGATACAGCTGTTTCTCCCAGTCCACACAACAGACCTACCTTACCCAACCTCGAAGCAGCAAGATGGCAAGTGAAGGTGGTGCCACCAATGGAAAAATGTCTGAGGACCCTCCTAGGCCAACTGCCACTTCCCCCAAATCAAGCACCACCTGGGCACTGCTGGTCCCTAAAGTGGGTCATTCAGGTCTGGTTAATTCCTTGGAATTTAATTCATGCAGCAAGTTCTAATGAGCTGCCTGACCAGTCCCTTGACCAAGGAAAGCCAACTGGTGTTGGGTCCCTGCACATTCACCTGCTAAACCAGAAACAAACGACACATCAGAGTGGGAGAACAACACATACTCTGGACAACAGCTGCCAGCCCTGCCTGGCGTCACTGCGGGCCACTGCCAGATGGACAGGTCCCACAGGCTCTGGGGCTGCACCTCATACCAGAGACAGGGCTGATGTGAACACAGCCAACAGCCTACAACTGAGGGTCATTCTAGTCATTATTGGTAGAAACCAGGTATAGGCCCAAACACCAGAGGCAGGTTACATCCTTCTGATTTGAGAATGGCTTAGAATCGGAAGTGCTCATCTTTGATACGTGCACACTTTACAATGCTTAGGGGAGGCCTCAGGTGGAGGAGTCCCTCAGAGCGAGCCTCCCGCTTGGGGTAAGATATGCATTCTCTTTGATTGTATTTAAACAATGGTGAAACTCAGAGAACAAGAGCCCAGTTATCCTTCATCTTCATTTTCCTCAAAGCTCCACAGCCACAGCTATCACGTGTAGTTCAAGGCTGGCCACGCTCGGCACAAGAGAAAAACGTCACACTGCAAGACGGGAGCGATGATGCTTGCAGGCTCAGTCCTGCAAAAGATGTGGAAACGGGGGCCATGCCTCATCTTGACTGCAGGACCTGCTGGAAGGATCTGGAAGGTGAGCCCTAGGGACGCAACTCTGATGAGATTTCGCTGACAGTGCTGGGCAGCTGAACCCCGCAGCTGCCCAGGTGGGACCTCATCTTCTCCACTGGCCTCTCCGGGTCTCCACAGAACCTCCTGGGAGGGCCCGTTTGCCATTCAGGGAATATGCCCCAGAGCCTGTCAGTTGTGACACTGGGAAGCAAATGAAGGTCAGAGTTGCCAAATGAACTGAAGTTAGGGCAGCGGGGATTTTTTTATTAAAAAAAAAAAAAGCCAGTCAAGGAGAAATTAATCAGGAAACAGAGGACACATTTCATGAGACAGCTCAGATTGGTCTCTACAAGAAGGCGCCAAAAAGCTGCCCCTTTCCCCAGGGATCCTCACACTCAGCACAACCCAGCCAACAAGAACGAGCAACAAAGAGGGGACAAAACTCTGCCCTGCCCTGCCCTCCATAAAGCGCACACCTGGGCAGGTGGTGTGGAGATGGACCTCTGCAGGCTGCAGGGAGAGCTGAAACATTCTTGGAGGCCAGCACACTTTTAGGACTCCATTTTTCAGGAGATACTGAGATTAGCATGGACCTCAGAGGGGGTCCCCAAATGTAGCTGTCAACCCAACATGGGCACAGCGCTGGTAGAAGAGTCAGTGCTCAGGGTCTCCATGAGAGAGGGTCCTGGTCTCCAAAGTGTACCCTGATGCCCACAGTGTGACTTTTCCAGAAAGCTGCCCTCTCAGCTGTGGAGGGGCTGCATGTTCCTCACGTGCAGCCACTTCTGACACTTGAACACCTCCCAGAACAGCGCCAGTGTACACTGTGCAGACGGGATAACCGCAGGGTGGTAAAAAGACATAGCTCTGACCCAGTTCTGGGACACGTGGCTGAGTTTGCAGTTCTAACATGAGAGCATGTATGTGTGTGGGGAGGGGGGGGAGGTGGCTGCGCAATGAGTACCGACTAGAACTGGCTGCAGAGAAGGTTCTAAGCCTGGAGAGAGGCCAGGGCAAGCACATGGGTGCTGTCTGGGGACCAGGACTGGGGGTGCTGTTCACAGGGCCTCCCAGCTGCTCAAAGGCCCGCAGTGACGTTCTCTAGTGACCCATACCGCTAGCCCACTCCCCTGATTCGGGAACTGACATGGGGGTGAAATTTTTGTCCTAAATCCAAGTGAGTTAGTAGAGAAATGGGAACTCACAAAAAAGTGAAAAAAATATAAAGGAAAAAATGAGACAACAAAAACAAAACAAATAAAACAAAAAGAGAAATGGGAACTCAGTCCTCAGCCCCGAGACTGATACCCCCAGTTCGCTAGGGCTCCCTTTCCACAAACACTGCCCCTCCCTTCCTGCCCAGGCTGCACAGAAGTTCACCTCGCCAAGGCCCCCACAGGCCCGCAGCCACTTCCATTTGTTCTGGCAGAGCAAAGGGTATAGCTGGCATCCCCCACACTGGACCCCTTAAATCAAGAGACTGAGTTATGGCATGAACTTCCTTGAAAGAGGATTTTGTTTTCCCTAGAAAACCGTCAGTGAGTCAAAGACAAACTCAATTTCTCCAATTCTTTGTTTTTTTTTTGTTTTGTTTCGTTATAAGACATGCTCAGCTCAGCTTTCCCATTGGCTACTGACAAATGTGCAGGCCTACGCCGCACACTCTATAGAAAGTATTTCAGGTGGCTGGGCCAAGAAGCCTCCAAGAAGGTGGGTGTTCTGGTCGGAAGGTTGAATCTCAAAAAAGTGCATGCTGCTGCTCTTCCCAGGTCTCAGGGTCTGGAGCCGCCCCCAGCAGAGAGAGGGGCCGTCAGGAGGTCAGGGACTGAATGTTCTTGAGCATCTCCTCAAAGGCCTGCGCGGATGGTGCGTCCGCGTTCCGGAAGTTGGCCTGGACTCTGCTGTACAGGCTGAAGGATTTCAGCTCCAGCCAGATGAACCCGAAGCGGTCCTCGTCGAACAGGATGAAGACGCCAGGGGTGCGCTCGGGGCTGGTGAAGCCATGGTCGGCGATGAGGCCTGTACCGTAGAAACTGAACCAACAAAGAGGAACAGCACAAGGAAGAGAAGAGTAAGAGGAGCTTCGAGGCACTGTGCTGGCCCAAGTCAAGAACTGGTCATGCTGGAGTGCTCTAAAGCCCTTTCCTTCCATTCAAGCCACTTTTCGCTCTTTGTAAGCAAGAAGCTAAGAATCAGCAGGCACCCCGAGAGAGCCTGTCCTCGTGGGACCCTGCACAACACTCAACATCCAGCACACTGGGCCACGGTAGCAGAGGGGTGGGGCTCTGGGGGTGTGGGGGACAGACGCTCGCGTACAGAGCATGAGAGAGGGTGTGCCGAGCTCCCATACGGTTGGGCTCACCCTGCCAGTGCTGATTCCTACCACCTTGCCAGCTACGGGAGGAGGGTCTCAGGCAGCCCCCCCTCACAATCTGTCCCAAAGCACGTTTTCATCATGCAGGCCTGGGTCACAAAAATCTTAATTCCCAGGGTAGTTATGTCAACATATAAACACTTCAAGTATAATCAATAAAGACTTATTGGCATGCAACCGGCATTAAGTCACAAAGAAAACTTTCAAATACCTATATGGCCCAGTTTTAAGATCTAAATCAGGCTGAAATACATTTGTCCTTCTTACAAAGAACTTGGTGCTTCTGCCGAAGACAAGAAGTCAGGGGCTGGCCTGAATTAGGGGCTGGCCTGAATCTCCCAGCACGTGGAGTGACACCTGAGACCTCCCCCACCTCCTCCCGCCACTCTGACACTCTGCTGGGTGGGAGAGGGGACAGCAGCCTGTGCTTCAGGGTTTCCTGGGCGGGAGGAAAGCACTACAGCCCACAGGGAGGCAAAGGGATGCCCACTGGGCTTCGAGAACACAGCAAACGTCTTCTGCACCAGCACTGCAACAAGGCCTCGTGGAAATACAACGCAGACAGGGAAGGATCGCAGCAGGCCCTCCCGAGCCGGGGAGCCGCCGATATTCAGCACGGGTTGGAGGACCACCCTGTGGTGCTGCCAGGGGGCTGGACCAGACTTCCAGACTGGACGGCCCCAGCCTGCTGGTGGGCTGGCCATGAGCTACTAGGAGTTGTCACATTATCCAGGGATAACAGCACCTTTTCCTTGCATGGCCTTTCAAATGGGCATGTAATGTACAGCATGGGGAAAACAGTCGACATTACCCTACAACTCTGTATGGTGACAGAGGGTTACTGGACTTATTTTGGTGATCAGAGTATAAGGAATATAGATGTCGAATCACTATGCTACACACCTGAACCTAATATAATATTGTATGTCAACTATAGTTTTAAAATTTTAAAAACTTTACAAAAAAATTTATATCAGGTGAAATTGTATTGGAATGTTACTTGTATGTCTCCCTCTGGAAAAGCCAAATTCAGTCACTTGTATCATAACTGCATAACAAGAAGAAAACGTAATAATGTTTTTCTGCCAAGCCCACAAGACACCTAAATCCCATTGGGGGAGCTGGGTGTGTGGGGCGCACTGTTAGTCTGTACAGGAACAGCTGCTCAGACCACTGCAGGCGCATGGCCCCGCAGGCGGCCCAGAGATACAGGGAAACAGACTGTACATAACTTGAAAAAGGTGGCAAGTCAGCTGTAATGCTGGGAAGCTGACAGACTATTCCCTCAAAATATCCACTAAGGCAACTGCACAGAACTCCCTGTGATCATTGAATGTCCTCGACTTGCATGTGCAATATGGTAGCCATCAGCCACATGCTGAGCCCTTGGAGCCAGCGCAACTGAGGACCTTTTTAATTTTACTGATTTTAGCAAAAGTTGAGTAGCCCGAAGTATAGGGGACTGGGGCAAGGGTCTCGTAATCCATCTGCCAGGGAATGGCCTGAATGGCAGGGCTGGGACTGAGTGGCTGAAAGCAGAGGCCCGAGACAAAACTGTAAGAACAGCAAGTCAGGTGAGGAGCTGGCAGCCTGGGGGAGGTCTTGTCCCATGAGCAGGGATCCTGACCTCTGCATGGAGGGAAGCAGCAATGCCAGCCCCTTACCACATGTTGTCTGGGCTGGGGTTCACTTTGGTGGCCAGTTAGGCGCTGGCCCGAAGTAGCCGAGGAGGGCAGAAAAATAACAGAAATGAGGAAGGAAGGAAGAGGAGAAATCACAGGATGAAATAACAATCTGACGTCCAGACTACCTCCATGTGGAGATGAATGGCAAACCCACGACAGGCCTTAGCAGCAAGGACATCCAGGTGAACTCCAAGCAGGCTTTCTACACGGAGAAGTGTGGGCTGAGGGAGAGGCCTGCTCCTTGCTGTCTGCTTCACTGCTACCTGACATCCTGCCTCACATCCCTTTCACCTTAGTAACTATGTGACACGAGGCATTCTGGGAGGAGTCTTCACGCCTGGCAATTCTAATAACCCCAGTCTGAGGCTCCCCGACGGGGTGTGACAGCTGACTGTTCAGCCCAGGAAACGGTGCCAACTGTTGGGGTCTGAGCTAGGGCTTGGACCCAGCCGCCAGAGGCTCCCATTCCAGGGCGGGAAGCCCCCACACCAGCCTGTCAGAGCCCGGGCCCACCCTGAAGCCCAGTTTCGCTCACCCTGGTGTCCTTACCACATCCTGCAGGTTCGGGGGTAGTCCTCGTTCCTTGAGGTCACACCCACAGGCAGAACAAACTGGACAGGCTCCTCCTTCAAAGCTGCAGCCCCTCTGTCCCCGGGCTCCCAGACCTTCTCCGTGGGTGGCCTGGCACCCTCGCTGTCCTCAGTCCTGTCTTCTTGCTGCTGCTGCTCCTGGCGTACCTGCTCGTGAACCTCCAGGACGATGCGGGAGAGCTCATTGAAGTTGCAGAGGTTCTCGACATTAGGCAGCTGGATGCGGTGCATGAGGTCGATCTCTACCGTTTGCTGCCCCGCAGGAATATTGGGGTCACCCTGTGGAGCGAGTGGGTGGCAGAGAGCAGGGCTCAGAGGCCAGCAGAGACACACTCCAGCCTAGGCCCCACCTCTGGTCAGAAGAGCTCACTCTAGTGTTCCTACTGACTTAGAAGCAACCCCTTGAAAAGTAAAAATATTTTAGAAGCCCTTAAAATTAGCACATAGAGCAAGTGTCCCCATCTGTGAAGGGATCTTTGAGGCCAGAAAATGACAGCACCTTCTAGGGACGTGCTGAGGGTCCACAGGCACAATGGCTCATCTGCGCTCAAAGACCTCAGGTGGGAACTAGCCTGTGACAGTCGAAGAGACAGAGGTTTAGAGAACTTCACTCTTTCCCAGGGTCAGGCAGAGGGCAGCAGGCCTGAGAGGCCAGCCCAGACAGGTTTTCCTGGAACACAGAAGCTCCTCAGCATGAACTCCAGGAGATCCCCCAGGTCCTGAAGTTCTACACAAGTCCTGGGGCATGCCAAGATACCCCCAGAAGAGCCCCACCGTGCCACGGACAAAGCCCTGGTTCCAGGCTCTTGTTCACTAGGAGCTTTCCCAAAAGCAGAAGGACCTCGGGGGACACAGGCTCAAGAGCAGCACTGGGTGAGGACTAGGAAATGGTGCTGCTTCTGCAGGATGCTTTACTGCATCTGCCGGAAACTCACCCCAACAAACTATGCAAATGACAGGTGAGCACAGCATGAATGGGGACCCTGGAGGGGGCAACACAGGGCCTACTCTGCTCAACAACCTTCCGACTGCTTTCTCAAGCTGCTGAGGCCGGGACAGGCAGTGGGGCCTGTGTGCTACCAAAGGGGGTCTCCAATGGGAGGCCCTTGGGGTCACCTGGGGGCCTTGTGGAGCCCTTACCTAGACCCCTACCCATTAAATGAGAACCCGTAGGGTGGGGCAAGGGCATCAGTGTTTTCTCAACTTGCTGCAAGTATCTCAGTGTGGAAAAGCAGAAGTGCTCACCATCCCCTGAGACCCTAGCTGGGTGAGTCTGGGTGGGGCGTAAGGATCTGCATTCCCAACCAGCTCCCTGGGGAAGCGATGCTGCAGTCTGGGCCCTACTGAGGAGCCAGGGTGCAGCCTGAGTCACGATGTACCAAGGCTGGCCTGACAAATCCACACAGGGCTGGACCCGGCCTGGCAGTCCCAAGACTTACTGTGATCTTCGTGGCCCTGGCATGCTTCCCATGGAAGCTGAGCATGACAATCTCTAGGCCGTGGCTGCCATAGGTGCCTTTGAAGAGGCCTGGCCTGATAAGGTCGTCTGGGTGGCTGGGCGGGAGGTAGATGCGGCGGTAGGTCAGGCAGTTGCTGTGGGGGAGTGGGTGGTGTGAGAGCCGCACGGAGCTGCAGCAGTGCAGAGCCCACACCTCCCTGCCCCACCACGGGCAAGGCAGGTGGCCTAGCATGGCCAGATCAGTGGGGAGCAGGGGCACCCCATGTTCCTGAGCCATGCTCACCCACCCACGTGTGCAGGGAACCCTCACACCTTCTCTGATCCCAACTAGGCTTAACAGGGGCTCACGTGTCCCCCTGCCAGGCACCCGAAGGCCACTGGATTGGCGCTCACAGTGGAGGGAAGGGAATGACACTCCGGATCTGTCACCCTGGGGCAGGAATCCAAGACTGTGCAGGGGACATGGCAAAGAGGCTAAACAGGGGCTGCAGGGACAGGGCCCAGGGACAGAGAGGTGGGAAAGCAGGCCTCCTAGGGCGGAGGTGGGAAAACAACCCCAAGGGTTAGGCACACACACCAGGGCAACTAGAGCATCCTGCTGATGGACACTGACGATAAATAAGACAGAAAACATGGGAGGCAGGCGAGAAGGTGGGTGTGGACTGCGCTCACAGCAGCCAGAGAGGGAGGTACTAAGTTCACAATACTCCCACAGAGAGGGACTGTGCCCACGGTGCCCACAGAGGGGACTGCACGTACTCATACTGACTGGTGTAGATGAACTTCATCAGGATGAGCTCCTGCATGTGCTCATGGAAAATGTCCTCCAGCGTCCGCCCCCATTCTTCCCTCAGCCACGTTCGGAACTCCTTCCAAGAGAACACAGGTCATGAAAACCACCATGACACAGGGGCACGGGGAGGCTGCTCACTGTGATCTGAGTGGACAAAGCAACATTTTTATAGTTGTGGGTGATGCTGTGGGCACCCCTATGACAAAGGAACCCACCTGGGCGGGCACATGAAGACGGGGCTGAGCAGGAGCATGGGAATCTACCGTGTGTTTGCTCTCTCAGCACCTGGCCTCCTTTCCTGTGGAGACATGCCACTGGTGAAAAATGGGGGGCTCTGGTCCCTGCTTTCCCAGAGCACACAAGCCCAGACTTCAGGGGAAGCATCAGGGACACGAGGTCCCTTCAGGTGAGGCTGGGGCTACAGTCCATGTCCGGAGTTCCCAGGGAAAAGCCACATGAACCTCACTTCGTGCCCACCCAGGAAACAACTGGGGTCTACACCGAGCTGGCTCAGCAATACACAGCATCCAAGCCTAGCTCCCAGTCTTCTGGGAAAACAGCAGGCACAGCAGGACTCTGTCCCTGAATCCCGTGCTGGGCGAGCTGGCCAGAGTTGCTCTCTGCAGCTGCTGATGAGGACCATGATAGGTTTAGCCCGAGTCAAGAGACTGGGTGGATTTTCCTTTCTCAAATGTGCCTTCATATAGTTATGCTGTGTGTTCAGTAAGTATATGCACAAAAAGGGAGCTTTTACAGGCACTGAGTCCCCAAAGCTCAGTAATTCATTATGGAATCAGAAACTGTGAAGGATGTTTAGTGCTCAATTGCTTGATTCTGCACATTTAACTTAATCCAGAGAACTGAGTTCCTAGCTCAGTATAGTGTTTCTAATGATTATCTAGAATTAGCTCTATAAACAGAAGCAAAAGCTCTTTACCAAAACAACAAAAAAGCTACAATCTGTCAACTGCTTTAATATGTGACTGGCCCAAATCTGGCAAAGAAAAAAAACCACTACAGTGACTGAACAAAACTGTTATAACTACAAAGTCAATATGTAAAATCAACTGAATTTTTATATACTAGCAGCACAAAATTGTAAAATAAAAATTTTAAATCCTATTTACAATAGCCTAAAACAAAACGAAACAAAACCACAGGACTTGAGAATAAGCATTACAAAACATATGCGAGACCTCCACTCTGAAAACCCCAAGGCTGCTGAGAGAAAGTAAAGAGGCGTAATAATAGTCGGAGATCTCTACGGACTGGAAGACTCAGCATTAAGTCAGCAATTCTATACAAACTGACCTACAGATTCAATGTCAATCATAATCCCACCAGGCTAGCCATTCTGTAGAAACCAACAAGCTGATTCTGAAATTCATAGGGAAATGAAAAGAACCTAAACACCCACAGCAGTCCTGCAAAAGAATAAAGCTGAAGGACCCACACTAGCTCATGCTACAGTAATCAAGATGGGGGACTGACAAATATATAAATAGAACTAAACAGAGAGCTTGGAATCAGTCCCACATTTATCTGGTCAGCTAGTTTTCGACAGAGCTGACCTAATCACCTGGGGGGGAAAGGAAAGTCTTTTCCACAAACGGTACTCCAACAACTGGACATGCATACGGAGAAAAAGAACCATGATGCCTACCTCATGCCGTACACAAAAAATAATTTGAGTTACAGACCTAAACATGATGTGAAGCTACCAAGCTTCAGAAAGAGAGAGAGAGAGATTCTCTGCCACTTGAAGATAGACAAAGATTTTTAGAACACAAAGAACAATAACAATAAAACAATTTTAAAAATTATACTTCACTAAAATCAAAACCTTCCACTTTGTGGCTCAACTCATGGAAGAAAGGCCCTTAAAAAAATCAAACAGATAAAAAACAGATAAAATGGAAGCAAAAGAATGTAATGAATAAGGATTTCAATGTTGCCATGGTGAATAATCAGACTTTAGCTAAATGCCAAAGAGAAGATGGCTTGTGAATAGTCATAATCTTGTTTACTTTGTACGAAAAGGTCAAACTCATTATACCAGCCAGGCCAAATTACTCAGAACAAAGAACTTTCAAATACATATGTTTATTATAAAGTAATCTTATAAGGTGTATATGCATAGGGAAAAACACAGGGGCCCAGAACATATCAGAAGAATCAGTGTGGTATTGATCTGGGGCTGACTCACCATGTGCAAGCACCGTACAATCACTGTCTAAATCTGCACTAATGGCCTAGGAGACGTGCGCTAACATTTTCCCTGTTCTACAGAGGCTTGGGACTTACAAAAGTAGAGAAACCTTCCCAAAGTCACCCAGCTAGTGAGCGACAGAATCAGAGCTAACCCAAGTCCACGTGCTAACTGGTTTTGCCTCTAGCAAGGTGAATACAAGAGCCAACGGAGTGTGGGAGCTGGGCTCACCTGCCCTGGTGGACCGTCTGTACCCAAGGACCATCAAACTGACAACACGTAACAAGAATTTGGAACACCTTCAGGGCATTTACCTGGCAACCTGACTTCTGCATGATCCCAAATCCACATAAAGTTTTGCACAGAGTTCAGACGGTGGGATGACAGCAATGACACTTGGCATTCTCCTGGTGTGGTATCCTATTCAACCCTCCAGAATCACTTGGGGTGCACAGGTAACCATGTCCTCTATTTCAGAGATAAGGACTGAGGCTCCCAGAGGGTAAGTCACTCAAGCACACAGTCAAGAGGGTAATAGGAGAAACATGAACATTTGAGACAAACCCCATGTCCACCTGCAGGAGAATGGTTACATCCAAATACATCACATCAAGATGATAGAGTCTATGCTGAATGAAAAATAAATCTTGTGAAGGGTTCTAATGAGACTAGAAAATATCTCTGGAGTAACAAGATTAAAAAATCCAGCTGAGAAAGTAAAATTGTAATTCCACCAGAAATGCCAAAAAACATAAAAGGAGGCCGGAGAACGGGCTCAGAGACGACTCCTAGGTAGGGCCGTGCCAGCACTTTTCCCTCCAGATTCTGCTGATTTCATATTTGATGATGATAAGGCACCATTTTAGTAACTGCGTGGTTACTTCTCCATCTCTGCTACTCCCTGCAGCCCCCAGGTTTCAAGAAGGCCTGGAGAGGAAGTAAGGTGGTGGCTGGGCCTTAGCCATCATCCATGAAGACAAGCCAGGCAGTGTCTACACTGGGGAGGCAGAGTCTGGGGCAGCCCAAGGACTACACTACTCCTCACAGAACAGCCTGGACTTGGCCTTCTAAGGTGCACAGCACTGGCAGCAATCCTGGGCCTAGAGTTTGCATGCAAGCAAGTGGGAGAGTTGTCTAGCCCTGTGGGTGCAGTTTATGACGTCATGGGGCCGGCTTCTGGCACCAATGAAGTATGGAGCCCACGTGAAGGGCTGGGCAGGACTACTCACTGGTTTCTTCATGAGCAGGATGCTAAAGGGACCGGCCACGAGCCACCAGAGACTCAAAAACTGCCTGAGATATGCACACCCGGCAAACAGATAAAAGCTATAATGAGTCTACTATATTTTAAAAGTTCAAGTTTTTCTTAAGAAATGCCAATATTTTGAAATGGCAATATGACTTAGATCCTCAGAAAGCTACAACTCAGAGACAAGGTAAAATTACTCATGCAAACGAAAGCACAAAAACTGGTATAGCTGTCACACAGGTTTACCCACCATAAGGCCTGGTCTGAAAATCTCAATCACCAGGTCCACCTGTGGGGAGAATAGCGCGGCTCTGAGAACAGCCCTCTGGTCTCCCTGCAACTCAGCTCCAAGAAGAAACATGCACAGCACAGGCACCCTAGACAAAGCGGTGAAGGAGAACCACCTAGTGGAAACTATTTCCTTTTGGTCACATTTTGAGGGTTGGTGGGGAAACAAAAACCTATGCTTGTGTACACACAACCTCATGAGGCCGTTTCTGACAAAAGGGTCAGACACACTTTCTGCACCAACAACATGAGGATGAATCACAGGAGAGGGCCGTCATGTTGGTGGCGTGCCGATGATGTGAAACCATTCAGCCTCATGTCTGCTCCTTGTGCACAGAAGGGGTACGGGCTCACCTCTTGCCTCCCACCAGACATCCTGTGGTGGTCCGTCTGGTTACACTTGGTGGAGAACTCGTCCTTCTTTACAATCTTCAGCATTCATGACAAAGCAGCGAAGGGAACAAATCAGTCACGGCATCTCCATTAGACAATGAGGCCCTCCTCCCCGATGCACCCCGCTCATCTACAGGAGCCCAGAACACATACAAATTGTGACCAGTCCAGAGAGGGGAGCTCAGAACCACCCCGAGTATGCACTTCCTTCTGGAGGAATGGTGCATCCAAGAGAGAGGTGTTTGTACTTTTCTAAGGGGACTCTTAGAGCAGGCAAGGGGGGCTATCATTTCATAGTCTTAGGTTTTGAAAAAAGAACAGTGAGGAATGGTGTGGTTGGAAACAACAAATGGTTTTAACTGGATACTGGATGCAGAACTAGTGGAGGGGTCCAGCTGGTGGTCCTTTGGGGAGCTACACCACAGCACCATAGCATAAATAACACACAGAAGGGGCAGGGGGTAACAACACAGAGCCCTGTTTCCCCTGATCTGCTCGGACACAGGCCTGTAGCTACGGACACCAGTGCAAACTGAGCTGGCACCAGGACAGGGAAGACCAGAGGAGACCTCACCCCTCGCCTGCACGTGGCTGCCATGTCTCAGGGAGCCCGAGCACACACTCACCTGGATGTGGCCATTGTGGGGCCCTCTGTGGCCGTACATGCACTCCACCGTGGGTGATTTCCTCTCCGTCAGGTGGATTCTAAACAAGGGCTTGAATCGCATTGGGTCATCCACATGAGGGTCATGGGGAGGCAGGTACATCCAACCAATAATGAACAAACCGTCCACCTGTGGTGAGGAGAAAGGGCGCATGTCCACGTGAGGGTATGTGAGGCACGGAGGCAGAGGGTCCTCACCCGCAGCTGTCCACAGTGACCACCCACATCTCCACACTCCAGGCCCCCGAAGGACCTCAGGGCCAACAGACATCGAGATGCCCTTGGTCTGTCACAAGGGGACAAGCATGGCCCCACCACCAAGTGCTTATTAACTAGAGAGTAGTTATCTAGTGAAAAACAATGTGACTACACTTAATATCAGTTGATTGGTCACTGAAATTTACTGAGAACAGAACTTAAATGTGTGATGATGCATACATTAATTAACTAGATGGGGGGCCATGAAGTGTGCTTTATAAATCTTATAATTTTGTCAGTGATACTTCAATAAACCTGAGAAAAAATAATCTTTTAGATAGAAAAAAGCTGTTAGACCTGAATCCAAGAAAGCCTTTGAGAGAGAACTTCCAGATCTAAAGTGGAGGATGGGGGGAGCCAAATGATATGAGAAAGAAGTGGAATAATCCAGAAAGTGACACCCAGTAAGTAGGGCAACTGACCTGAGAAAAAAATGGGGGTGCTGCTTTCAACAGGAGAGAGTCATGAGGCAAAACACACAAATACAATGTCAAGCCTGGTTTAGGGCCCAATCTGAACGGACCAGCTGTCAACAGGCAGTTTTGAGACAAGCAGGGAACCTCACATAGGGACTGGGTCTCAGGTAACATCAAGGAATTACTGCTACTTTTGGAAGGAGTGATAATAACTGGTGGATATGTAGGAAAACACCCACATTTTTAGAGATCTACACTGAAGTATGAGCAGATGAAGTGACACAAGCCTGGAATTTGCTTGAAACTCCCTGAAAACAGGGACGAGACAAGGGGCGAGCCAAGGGGCAGAGACAGGCTGAGAACTTGGTGCACTATTGGTAGCTGCTGAACCCAGGCGGTGGGCAGCGGCACTTCATGCTACCATCCCCCTATTCTGGTGTGTTTGAAACAGCGAGTGATAGGAAGTGACAGAGCTCAGATCAAAGGACACGCAGTCCCCACACGCATGCTCAGCACAAAGGCGCCCGCATTCCCAGTGGAGGGACAGGGACAGCCCCATCTGAAATGACCCAGCAGTCGCTCCTGCCTTCCCAGAAGAGCCTAGATCCACACCTTCTAGCTCTCGTGACAAGAGGAGAGAATTTACTCACTTTTGCGACTAACCGGTCAGAGACGAGAGCCAGTTGCCATGGTTCAGTCATGGGATACATTCATCACCCTCCCCAACTAAAAGGAAAAAAATATGCCCACACTGGGTTGTCCCTGAGAGAACATTTTAAAAGCCAGGCTTTTCCCCAGTGATATTAAATGTAACATATGTAAAGTGTGTTTCTGAATGAATGCTGCCACCAGATACAGAGTATAAAGCAATACTTATTCCTGTCCAACCCCACCTGGTGAGCAAAATACACAGAGTGACAGTAACCAGAGTCACCAGGTGGTCCATCTGGACCAGGCTCGGAAGAGCCACACCGAGGCTGTCCAGGGCCACGGCGAAGCAGACTCCAAGTATTACAAGATGTGGAGCCGGTCTCCCGGGCTGGGCTTCCGGCAAGAGCCAGTGAGAAGGAAAGCAGGGGCAGAACACCAGCGTTCCCCAGGGGGCACCTGACTGTTTTCACTGGGACATCAACTACAGCAACACCTGGGCCCAGGCGCCTGCCCAGAGTTGGCCGAGCATTAACTGCACGTGCTTGGCCCTAGGGCTGCTGCTCAGTCCTGACCTCACAAGAACCCACCGGCGAGGCTCTTGGACTTACCACCACGTTCAGCAGTCCTCCGTAGGGCCCGATATCTGGCTGCCACAATCCCAAGATGTGTCTGTATCTGTGGAGCACTACAGGGAAAGAGAGAGCAGGTCTTCGTTTCAGAGCCAGCCAGTTTTCACTTTAAAGTACATCAGAGGAAAGGGCAGGAGGAGGAAGACAGAACTATGAAGACATGACGAAGGCTTATAACAGAGCCTTGTAAACAAATGTGGATTTAAGCAAAACTTAACTACCAAAGTTTCTAAAGAATTTTAAGAATGAAAATGACTTTGAAAAGCATAATAAAACAGACAACATGAGTCCTTTTGAAACCCAGCCTCTACGTGAGCAGCTCCAGTGACAGGAAACTGCTGTCTTGTAAGATGCAGACTGGGCGCCATTATGAAGTGGTGAGCCTCCCGTCCATTTACACAGCTAAGGAAGCTCAGGATTCCTTAAGAGGTAGGGCAGAGTCCACAATGTCATGAGACTGGATAATAAGAATTAAGTTGGGTCATCTCTCTTTTTTAAAAACACCACACTTCCCCACCTCATTTCCAAAGCGACGCACACATATTCACTGCAGACAACTGGAGAGAAGGAAACCCAGTGCCAGCCTGCAACCCCACCACAGCGATGACAAGCTGCAGTAAACATTTCGGAAAATGTCCTTCCCTTCAGTTTCCTCTGCCTTTGCACATGCACTTGTTGGGTGAATAAGTCAATGAATTAATGGGCAACCAACTTACATGAGACCCTGACTGCCGGGAGTAGGGCCGGGGGTCTCTGTGCAGGCAGAGTGTGCTGGGTAACTTCACGCACGACTGGAAGGGACCACAGGGGGCCCAGACATGGGTCAAACATTATTCCGGATGTGCCTGTGAGGGTGTTCCTGGCTGAGGCTGACATTAACATCAGCAACACTGACTGCTCTCCCCAGTGTGGGGGGCCTCATCCAGACAGGGGGAGGCCTGGGCAGAAGGAGGCTGATCTCCCACTAGTACGAGGGAGCCACTCCTGCCTGGCTGCAAGAGCTGAGATATGTTTTCTCTAACCTCGAACTCTAAATGTGGGCTGTCCCTGACCAGAGTAAGAGGCTAACTCCTGCAAACAAGGGAATTTCCCCTTGCATGACAGCCTTCAGCTGCACACTGGGTAAAAGTGGCCTGTCTACCGCCTCACCGTGTGGTGGGCGACCTTCTACCAAATTCCTCGCATCCACTAGAGCAACGTGGATCACTGCCAGGGTCCTAGGTCAGAACTCAAAACCAGAGCCCTGCGGTTAGTTATTTTTAAGTTCAAAATGCACTTCAACAGTCACCATCAATTTGCACACAGGTGCATGTCGTAAGGACAATATATTCCTTATGATGCTTCCAACTTCTTACAGACATGAATTATCAAGAATATGAAGCGACATATGGCCCAATATTGAGAAAAATAAACAAAAGTGACACTGCAAAAACCGCTAGTAATCTGAGGCCACAAAGCTCCTAGCAGCCAGAAGCTGCATCCTCAGACAATGCTGACTTGCTTCTCCCCAGGACAGCATCGTGCACACCAGACTGTTGATCCTCTCTGGTCCCATAGGACATGGCCCAGAGGCTTTTAAGAGACCCGGGGACACAAGTTCTCAAGGGCTCCAGGAATAACGTGAATGGATGAGGAAGAAACAGTGCAAGGTCCCAGGCACCTCACAAGCCAATCGTGACAGCAGACTTTTCTGGCAAGTCTGGCTAATGGCAGAGAAGAAATTCTAAGCTGCACTCTGTGAAAACATTCTAGAGGTACTGGAATACTGAACACCGGGGCACAGAGAAGTTTAAAACTGGGGTTGAAATGACTTCTCTTTTACCACTCAGTTTAAATATGTCCACAGAGAAATGCAATCGATGCTTACATTATATTTTCTGGATCTTCCAAGTTTTCTACAAGGACTGCTACATTTTTATACCCACATTCAAACCTTAGAGAGGACAGCCGTCTCCAGTTAGAGCAGTCTCTTCTAAGCTGTCAGCTACCTGCAGCTGGGGAACATCCAACACGTGGCTAAAGTACAGATGCTCTGAAAGTCATGAAAAGTCTGGACTCAAGACACATCCTTACAAGCTACAGAAAGCTTCTGACCAGCCAACCCTTGGGAACAAAAAGAACACACCCCTGACACAGCCCTAGGCACTTTCTAGGTCCCAGCCACTGATCCATCCTCCCAGAGGTGGGTCAGAATTCCATTCTCGGTCTCAGGTATAAGTTCCAGGTAGACTGTTGTTCTAGAAGAATCCTGCAGCAAATGTATGACTTAATGAGTCTCTAAGTGCTTGTCCACTTGTATTTAAAAGCCCATGCCAGGCTGTTCCTGTCAGCACAGCTGTGGTGATTGATTGATGGTTCTCTTCAATAAGTGCTACGTCTCGTTCTCTCCCACGAGCCCAGAGAAGGCACCTTGGCTCACTGACTTGGCCTGCCAAGCAGGGAGGGCGGGTTGGTCTATGACAAGATGTTCTAGAGAGGCTACTTCCAAGGGGGGTTGGAAGAGAACAGAATTCATGCTTTCAGACTTGGCCCACTCACCCGCTTGCCGCCCAACCGCAGCCGCCCAGCTCCTCCTGACTGCTCATATGCACTCCGGACGAGCCCTCTCACCCCCCACCCCCATCTCCACGCAAGCAGCTCAGCTCTGGGCCTGATGACACAAACACTGTGGGTGGCATTCACAGTTGTGCACAGGGATCAGACACCACCCCAAGCACCCTGACCAGTCCTGGCATCCCCACACTGCCTCCGCAGCGGTTCCCTGGAGTAAGTAACATGGGACCAGCGAGCGCTATAGCTACACGTCCAGAGACTGATGGGGGTAAGGAGAAATTCCATAAACAACTCTATTCCTTGTGTTCCAAGTAGGTTTTGTTAGAACCTGTGCACTTATAAGACGTAGAAGTGGGTCTGGTGCACTCAGGATGCTAGCACAAGGCACACTCAGCGGGGCTGAGGTAATAGGCAGCAGGGGCTCCTTGCAAGGAGGTATTTCTACTGTCTTTCTTGAAAACTGAAATTCACACTCTCCATCTCGGCTCAACCTAGTAAGAAGTGGGGATACCCTTAACCACGATGGAATATGGCTTAGGAAAATTTCCAGAGCCCAAGTAATGACAATCAAGAGGAATCAGGTTCTAAATAATCAACGGTTCCTACACAGTTTTGTCTCATGTGTATATGGGTACAGGTGTATGTCATTTTTCCTATTCACATATGCTGTCCAAACACAACTGACTACTGACAGAAGTAAACCACTTATATCTCATTTTGGAATACAAAGGTTTGGAGGCCTCAACTCTATTCTCCCCTCTCGGCCTCAATAAATGATAAATGCTAAAATGTGTGTTAATAGAGTGACCGCACTGCCCCTGCCCCCAAACAGAAAAGAGGCTGCAGAAACCTGGCCCAGGCCACCGCTCAGGTGTGATCCTGGTCATGGCCGAGCCACAGCGAATGCTGCGGAAAGCTGAAAAGACAGCAAAAGCCAAGGTCAGCTCGCTCCTAGGACCAAAGCATCCTCGGACTGTGAGTTAGAGGTCCCTCTCCATGCGACTGGTCGCCGTGCTCCCCCGCCAGAGCCAAAGCAGCAGGAGGTACATACGGCAGGTGTACACATCTCGGTACTCCATGTGCTGCTCGCAATCGGGAAGAACTTTCATGAAACGTCCCGACTTCACACGAGGGTTTATACCTGAACAGACACAGCAGGGAAAGGGCTGAGGATGGCTCTGCTTTCACAATGGTATAAACAGTTTTCACGTGACTCAACACCCTTTCCCTCTCCGCCATCATACTCAACCCCGGTACCTTGGGAGGCAAGCACCTGCCAAAAATGAGAGGCCTGGCTGGAAAGAAAACATGACATATCTCTCTTTTAATCAACAGATTCACACCAGGAAATCAGGACGGCGGGCAACCCTGGGGCCCTCTCCACGGTCACTCTCCTCCCGCAGCCGTCACAGATCAATGGAGCTCACTGCGGTAGGAGAGCAGAAGGCGCAGCCCGTGGACGTTTGCAGTGGCTGTTCTGGGAGCCCTTGTGCCCCAACTAAGATCCCCAGCTTGTATAGTGCGCGCCTAGTGTTTTTCTTCACTCAGATTCGTTTTGTATTGCTTCAGACTATGGACAACATCTGCCAGCTCCTAACTCAGACCCTTCACCTCTGAATGAAGGCCAGCTCCCTCTCACCTATGCCAGCTAAGGCTGACTTTCTTGTACTATCTAGTCCAGAAGCTAAGTAATTTTCTCCTGGATAAGGCCTTCAAAGCAAACTCAGGAAAACATGCACCTGCACCGTGAAACCTGCTTTAGCTGGTGGCAAATGAAACTCTTGAGGGTACTAAACAAAGATAACATAAATTATTCTCTGAATTTCCCAACCATTTTCACAGAGTGAAGAATAACCAGTCAAAAGAAATCTCCAGATGTCCTCCTTTGTCTGCCGGCCTGCCCCCACACAGGTGTGTGTGTTCCCCTCGCCACAGCCCATGTCCCCAGTCTGTTGCCCACCTCCCGGCTTACCCCTGGCCACACCATGCCCTTCTCCCTGGTAGTCCTTCCACACCTATGGAGAAGACACTGTTCCCTTGACATGACTGTGTCTGTCCTGCAAGCTGGACCTGAGCCAAAACACAGGCTGTTTCTGCAAACCCCCTTAGAGACTGGCCAATCAAAAATGTTCATTCAGACATAAAACAGCACCCTCCTTACCCTCCTGCTGTGTACCGGTCCTGGCACAGGTGGTTGTCCTGACCGGGCCGAGCATGTAGTTTCCCATACCTGGTAGCATTCACATACTGGTTCCTGGGGCTAGCACCCCTCTTCCCTGTGTAACTCTTTGGTGCCTGTCCACTGGGGAGGGGATCCACTTCATCCTGCAGCTGCCCCAGACATGCCTCCTACCTAAGTTCCCCCCAGTAAACCCCGTTAATTACTAGACTGCAGTGGCCGGCCTCTCTCTTCAGTGTGTTACCAGCCCTGACGTACAGAGGTCAATGTTTCCATCTCAGGGCTTTTCCCTGGGTCTGCGTGTACAAACGCCATCTGCCTGCTCACCTGTGCCCAGACGTCCCCTCTATAGGACAGCTGCCAGAGGGCCCGGCCAACCCCCTGCACCCAGAGCTGTGGGGGCCTCATTTACCACATAGGCTGTCCTCTGGCTGTCACAGCCTGTAATGCCCAGGACATGTGAGCACCTGCCTCCCTCCAGGTCTCTACTTTGAGTGCTCACAACTCTTAAAGAGAGAACAGTCTTCGTGCTGCATTAAGAGAATGCTATCCAACAGCCTCAGAAAACTCAAAAAGCAGTTATCCAAGATAAGAACTTGTCACATTAGATAGTCATAAAAGCCAGCTGGCCATCCCCAAGGGCCATAACACCTTTCTTGAGTGTATGCACACAGAGACCATGGCAGCGAGAGTTTGGTTCTGACTCTGACCCCAACGCCCACAGCAAGGCTGCATGGCCCCCATGAGGGTGAAGACACTGAGCTCTGGGCCCGTGACGGAGGGATGGAGGGTACCGCCCAGACAGTGTGGGCTCCCACAGGATAAAGGGGGGAGGGGATATAAACCCAGCACCCACCCACCTGCCTCTGAAACTCTGGGCTTGGCGGGAACCACAGAGGCATTGTTCTCACCAGTGAGACGAGAGGGCAGGGAGGGTACATTTCCAGGAGATATGACCACTCGGGTCTCCTGACTCACTTCCTCGAGGAGACGCATGTCTTCCTGGGTCGGTGGGATGGGAAGCAGAGGCAAGAGAAGAAACGAAAGTCCTGACACGCAGGGGAAGGAGCAGAGGGAGGTCCTGAGCAGGGCAGCCTTGCAGTGGAGCCCGGGGCTGGGACAGCAGTGCAGGAGGCAGATAAGGGCTGTGCCTGAGGGCAAGGTGAAGCCCCAGGCCCACAGGAGGGGGAGGGGCGCAAGCAGTTGGCAGAACTGGGCAGAAATGAGGCAGGGCACAGGGGCCCCCACAACAGCCTCTCCAAGGCTCCCTGAGGCAGGAGGGAGGGGCAACAGCTCGGAGGGCACGGCTGAGCCACCAAGAATCACGATGGAAGAGGAAGGCCCATGAAGAACTTGGAGACCTTTGACAGGAAGTGCCCCAAGGGTGAGCAAATTCTAACCCAGAAACACTAGCCAGTCTAGCACCCCCAAATGGCCGTGGGGTCCTCGTGTGCAGAGTCTCTGATGGGATGAGAAGATGAGCGTGGCCCTAGATACAGGGACTGAACACCGCCCCCCACACCCCACCCCCACGCAGATCGGCCACTCTGCAGAAACGCTGCCCTCTGCCTGTGCTGATGGCGCAGCCACGTGAGGAGGGCCCCTCAGAAGGGGACTCTGACAGGAGCAGACCCACGGAAAGACAGAATGCAGAGAGGGACACCCACCAGCCCCTGGACCTGGAAGAACGCTTGCAGCGCTTCAGCGCACAGACCGCAGCCTGGCCCATGCACGGTGAAGCCCCCTGCCCACGCCCCTCCCCTCGCCCACCACACAGGTGTCTGTGGAGAAGCACGGCCCTCAGATCCTGGGTGAGGTACGTGGTGGGAAGACATCCCCTGGTCTGCTTTCAGTGCAGAACTGGGTAGCAGGTGCTAAAGAATGCACAAACCAAAGTCTCCTCAGATGGGTTTAAGAGGAACAGGTAAGGTCCTTCTCAGAGAGGTCAGCAGGTCAACTTTAGGCCAAAGAGAATGGGGTCACCATGTCTTTCTTACTCTGTTCTGATCCCCAGTCCTGGGTGCTAACAGTCCCTGCCACACCCCACCGGGCTGCTCTGGGGGACCTGGGCGTCACCCGGAGCCTTCATGGCCCCTGTACAGGACACTGAGAAAGGCCAGCTGGGAAGGCAGGCGGGGCCAGGGAAACTTGGAGCACTCAGAGAGTGCTGCTGGTGGCGCGGCACAGTAACACAGCAAGGTTCAGAAATGGGGGCGGGCAGGAGGGGTGCACACGTCTAGAGGACCTGAAGGAAAGACCAAACACAGGGCTGGAGTCCAGGTCCCGGCTGGGGGGAGGAGCAGGCCCACAGGCAGCCAGGAGGTTCGAGGCTTCACGTCCCACTTCCTATCAGCTGTCCCCTCATCCGACCAGGCTGTGGGCCCAAAATCCCCAGGAAAAGACCCTGGAAGCACCCCAGAGTCTGTTCCCAGGGCAGACGTGTTTCTCAGCTCTGAGGGTCCTGACCCCTGTGATGGGCTGACAGTCAGGGCGCTGCCTCGCCCAGAGAGGGAGAGAGGAGAGCCCCCCACCCAGTGCCGGTACTACCACTGCTGTCTTTACAATGTCAGTTTCGACATCAAAATTAAGGTGTCTGAGAATGAAACCGGGTTTGGGTCAAATTAATTTATGATCCATCGTTGATACTCACGGTGTCTGCTCTTGGGACGAAGTTAATGATGGATGATATTAGGTTAACTTACGCTTCGCATAGACGTCTCGACAAGAGACACCCGTGATCTCCAGCTTCCGCAAGTTTTCACAAACGCCGTACTCTGTAAGAAGAGACATTTGCTAGACATTACAGTGAACGGATCACAAAGCAACAGAAATAGACAGACTGATAGAAGGGGGAGAAGAAAAGGGAGGGAGAAGGAGGAAGGACTGGGGAAAGGAAAGAGGGAGGGAAGGAGGGAGAGAAGGAGGGAAGCTGGGTGCATGCCTAATCCTCAGTTAGTCTGGTCAGACAATCCTCAAATCAGACAATCCCCAGCTTACTAACAAGGTGTGGCAGAAATTCGGTGGTCTGAAATGATGCTTGTTCCCATGAAAATGAGATTGTCACTGGTGTCAGGGTTCCACAAAGACCTGTGTAACCCTCAGTTTGGCTCACCACACTACTAATTCTATTAAACAAAAACACACTTCCTATGATTGAAGACCTAGGCAAGACGCTGGAAGGAGGAGTGGGACACTCTCTGCCCCTTCGCACCAGCTACCTTAGAATAAAAGCTGGTAAGGAGAGATCCTTGACAACCTCCCCACTCCCTGTCCCCCTCCCCTGCTTGGATGACAACACATATTCTCCTACTGTGGGGAAGCTTTGCCAGCAGAGCCCCCTGTCCGCTGCAGATGAGAATAAGTGTATCAAGACATGATCTGCCTGGGGAGGAAAGGTGGCCCATCTCTCAAAGGAGAAGGACCAGTCACCTGCTCCTCAATAGGCTTTCACTGGGTTTATCTACATAGGAATACAGGGCATAAACATAAAGCTCATCAGTCATTGTCAGGCAGAAATGATTAAAAAATAGAACATTCAAAGAACTTGAGGGCTTATTCTGAGTCAGAGTCAATAGTTAAAGGGCCATACAACTTTGGGGAACAAACTCACTTCATGCTTGGACCCTTATTATTTAAATTGAGGGTATTAGCAAAGTAGGTTTCTTAAGATTTTATGCATTCTTTCTTAGGCCTGATTGTCCCAGGGAACCCGCCCTTTCTAGAACAGGGCTGCACCCACCTCCAGCATTGCTTCAGGCTTAGGGCATTGTTTCAGGCTTAAGTCAGGCAAGGGAAGTAAGGCGGTCAAGAGATTAAGAGACCTCTTGGAGACAGAATGAGAACTCAGGCTATGTCAAAGCCAAGGGGTTAGGGTCCATCACCCCCTTTTTCTATAGTTCCCCAAGTCCTTCCCTGAGGGCCCTGTCATGACCGTGCCTGTCTTAGGTTGTCCCTCCCTTGAGGAATCTTACTTGTCATTGGCTAACCAGTCATCTGCCCAGGGCCAGGCAGGGTGAGGTGGGTGAGGCAGGGTTGGGAGGGCAGAGGTGGTGCCCCTACAAGGAAGATAAGCTTTGTCTCCTAAGTGGCTTATGGTCCCAAGGTCCTTTAGTCGGCCTTAGCCAAGGGGATTACAGCTTCTGAAACCAGTCATGGTGGTTCCCAGCATCCTAAGTCCTCCTCCCTGTCCCTTCTCGCACCCCACCATGGCCCCACCTTTCAAAATCACCCTCCCCCATTCTACCACACCAGCACTTCCCAACCAAAACCTCAGGTCCTTCTGTTCAGGTCTCAGCAAGGCACTGGAAGGAAAGAACTGTAATTGAACTAATCCACACTAATACAGAACTGCCTGTTGACCAAAAGCTGATAATGACAATGCCTGCCTCATACCTACCTTTGTGCATGCTGGGCACCACGCCAAGCTCCTGCCAGGCACCACTGCAGTCTATTCAACCAGCAGCCCACGAGAGAGGTTGCTACAGTCATCTCCATTTTAACAATGAAAAAATAGGGGCAGAGAGGTGACCGTTCTGCAGAAAGAAGCATGGGCTTGTGATGGCAGACCCAGAATCAAAGCCTGGATGTGGAAACACCTCAGAGCAGCAAACACAGCCCTGGCACAGGTGTGTGCTCAGCAAGCATTTGATGATGAGAACAAGGGGCCCTGGGATTGCACAGTAATAACCACCAGGACTCTCCCTGTGCTCATACCAGGTGCAGGCATTTAAGTAGGGCTTCATAGAATGGCCTAGTGACAAAATCCTGGCAATTACCTCTAAGGCCAGTACTGTGCCTGCATCACAGGGTGGGGACTGAGGCTTGAGGACATTGGTGACTCAGCAGTCATTTGGCCAGTAGCCATACAGCTCTGTCCCTCATCTCATCACTTTCAATCATGCCTGAATCTCCCCAAAGTCTTGTCTTGTCTTCTTTTCCTTTCTTTCTTTTCTTTCCTTCCCTTCCCTCCTTCCTTCCCTCCCTCCCTCCCTCCCCCCTCCCTCCTCCCCCTCTCTCTCTTTCTTTCTTTCTACTCAACCACACATTATTTTCCTTGAGGCAACCATTATACTTGTATATACAGCCTGGTCTTTTCAATAAAATGGATGATATTATCCCAAATGCTCCCATAACTGTTAGGATTTTGACAGTACATAAAGTACAGCTCAAGATGCACACAGGCTGGAGAAACTATCTGCAGCGAGGTGGTTACTACTCTCTCTGCACACCCCTTTGATCAGGCCTGCCTGGGGGCCCTGCTTTCCCCTACTCCACTATTGATGAACACACATAAAGTTTAAAGACCTAAAACCATGGCCTTGCTCATTATCAGGCAAAATACACCTGCTTTATCCTCATGCCAAGAGGAATATGGACTCTAGAGAATTAGAGAGATTACAAGCATTTGTGAAGTAACACAAATCATGAAATACACTGCCTGCGAATCTAGGGCAGGGATAAAATAATGCAGGCATGTAACAATGTAACACGAGTTACCAGCAATCTGAGAGAGCACAGACCATCAAAATCCTTACAGATCACCTTTGGTAGGTGGAACAAACAGGAACAACTGGTCTACCCCACTCTCACTGAGAAGAGCTCTGCACTATCTTCATACTTTCCTATGGCTCTGTGATGCCAAGGGGCACCTCTAGAACACCACCAGTCATTGTCACTACTTGGTCCAGCTCTCCGTAAACACACTTTGTCCTTCTCTTGTACAAACGATACACTTCAAAATTGTCACCCACATAGTAATATTGGTGCTTCAGTTTGTTTTCTGTGTAGCTTTGAAAGGCCAGCTCCTTTTCTCAGTCCCAGAGGGCTACCAGTGCATGAAGCAGCCAAGGACCAGCCTCTTCCTGCCTTGCTGACAAAGCAGTTTGATTGTGGGGCAGGGGCTGTGGGAGGGTGTCTTCCTTTGAATTGCACATTTTTTTAATGTGTTAGTGCTGCAGACCAATAGTTACATACAGGGCAGGAGCTGGAAATACACTGTGCTCTTATTGCTGATGGCGCCTGAAGTCAAAAGCCAGGCCTTTTGTGAGGCATTGGGATTGTCTCGTGGGCATTCCTCTGTGCTCAGACTGCAGAAGACTGGTGACTTGGTTTATGATCTCTCCCTCTCTCTTTTTTATTCTTTGCCAAGGGCATTTTTTCATTGCTTTTTAGAGAGAGGAAGGAAGGGAGGGAGGGAGGAAGAGAGAAGGGGGGGGAGGGAGGAAGGGAGGGAGAGGGAGAGAGAGGGAGGGAGAGGGAGGGAGAGAGAGAGAGAGAGAGAGAGAGAGAGAGAGAGAGAGAGAGAGAGAGAGAGAGAGATACCAATTGGCTGCCTTCTTGTATGCACCCTGACAAGGGGCCAAATTCCCAACCTGGGTATGTGCCCTAGCCAGGAGTCGAACCCATGACCTTTTGGTGTACAGGACGATGCTCCAACCAACTGAGCTATACCAACTGGGGCTGGTTTATGATTTCTACTTGAGTCCAATGGATACTCTAACATGATGGTAACTACCAGTGCCCCTCACTAATCACTTGGGCTTCTGAGTGACTCTAACGTTTTTGGCCAGGATAACCAAATCATGAATCTCTGTATACTTTGTCAACAAATAGTACTGCTAATATCATACAGGAGATGAACTTGCACAATCAGATAAAGCATCCACAAAATACGCCATTAACAATCAGGAGAAGAGCAAAGTTATTATGTAGTGCTAATGAATACAGCAATCCTTAGTAGACTTTCCTTAATGTTCCCAAAAGATCACAATAAATCCACCAAAGTGAAATAATGTCACTCTGACCCAAATGTTCCTGTAAGAAATGCTTGGTATTTTCCACATGATGGAATTTTTTTTTTTTCTAAAGAGTGGCTAAGAACAATTCCACATCGTCTGGTTGTTCTATAAACCTTCCCATAAGTCATCAGGGGGAAATGCCCTGAAAATGTCTTTAAGGCCAGACGTCAACCAGTACCACATCTCCTTGCTTCCAGAGAAACTAACAAGTGTTAACTCCATCCTGCAGCAGAGACCCTATCTGAAATGATTAAAAGTTAGCACACCAAACCATGCTGCATATTGCTGCTCTTTAAGTATGGGATTTGGTGTTGCAGGCTGTTGATTCAAAAAGTTTCCTTGTTAATCTAGTACACAATTTATGAAATTCTTTTTTGAAAGTGTCTACATAAACAGATGGCAACAAAGTATCAAAAAGTTGGGAAGGCAGAGAAAAATGGGTGAGCTGGACTTGAGTCAATTTATAAAATTAAATGCTCTTATTCTGGTGCATTTTTTCAAACAATAAAACATAGAATTACCATATGATTCAGCTATTATTCTACTTGTGATATATAATCGAAAGAATTGAAAGCAGGGACTCAAAGAGATATTTGTACAGCCATGTTCACAGAAGCATTACTTACAACAGCCAAAAGGTGGAAGCAACCCAAGTGCCCACTGACAGATGAATGGATAAACAAAATGTGATCCATCTGTGAATTGGAATATTATGCAGTCTTTAAAAGGAAGGAAATTCCGACATGTGCCACAATGTGGATGAACCTTGAGGACATCATGCTGAGTGAGATAAGCCAATCACAAAAGGACAAATGATGCCACATGATTCCATTTATATCGGGTCCCTAGGGAAATCAAATTCACAGAGACAGAAAGGAGAATGGTGGTTGCTGGGGACTGGTGAAGGAAAATGGGGAGTTAGTTTCCATGGGAACGGAGTTTCAGTTTGGGAAGACGGAAAGAGCTACGGAGACGGA